ATTTGCATAAGATACGATAATAAACAGACTTCTAAGGAAGTTTGAGTACTTTTTTATAGACTCTGCTTAACAAAAAAAGGAACATCAAAAGTTCTTATTTAAAAAAATATATTTGTTGAAATCTTACAATGTGCCAGGTCTATACTGGGTACTGGGCAGAAGCAGAGATTTAGACAAAGTCTGTGGCCTCATAGAGCTGCCATCCTGTAGTAGGAGACAGGCTGTGTTCATGAAGAAATGACTAAGATAGTTTCAGAAAGTGATGGGTGCCATAAAGAAAATGAACAGGACAAGAGGATAGACAATGACTGAGGTGCTTCAACTAGAGGGGGAGGAAAGGTCTTCTTGAAGAACTGACTTTTGAGTTGACACATTCATGATAAGAAGGAACCAGCCATGCAAATAATTGGATACGGAGGAGGGAAAATTCCAGGAAGAGAGGAAGGCAAGTGCAAAGGCCCTAGGGCACATTCTGAGAACAGAGAGAAGCCCAGTATACTTGGAGCATGGTGAGTGATGTGAAGAGTTGCAGGAAATAGGGACAGAGAGAAAAGCAGGGGACAAGAACAGGCCAATTTTTGATGTTTAAATTCTAAACGCAATGATAAATTATTTATGTCGAAAAGTAATATGATCTGATTTTGGTTTTAAATATATCATTCTGGCTTGTCTGAGAAGAAGAAGTTGTTGGGGAAATAAGAAGGGAAGGTCATCTGTCCCATTCCATTTCTTAGGAAATGATAAGGCATAAACTGTCCAAGAAGGTAGGTTTTAAGAAAAACTACTTAACTTAGAGCCTGGAGAATTGGGAATCTGATCCTTGCTCTTTAACTTACTGGCTGTGTGACTATACAGAAACCACTATGCCTTGCTGTGCTTCAATGTCCTCACAAGGTTTTTGTAAATAATGGGCATGAATGTTTTCAATGACCTGTACAGGCTCTATGCAAATGTGAAGAGTCCTCATTCTTTACAACCTCCACAGCTTCTTCATGCTCTTCCACAAACACTCTTGCTCAGTTTTCTCCAGATTTTCTAGTAATAGAGAATGCACTTTCCACTTCCCTTCTCTTGTTTGTTTGTTTGCAGGCTGTGTGGACACAAAAGAGGCCGATCTCTATTTCCTTGTTGATGGGCTCAGGCAGCATCAAGACAGAACATTTTGAACTAATCAAAGAATTTATGTCAGCGGTGACAGAGATGTTTAGCATTGGCCCAGACAAAGTCCGGGTTGGAGCTGTGCAGTACTCATATAAGAATACAGTGGAATTTGATATTGGTGTCTATTCTAATGATGTTGACTTAAGGAAGGCTATTTTTAACATCAAGCAGCAAGGAGGTAGAACTTACACGGGGGCAGCCCTGGATTTCATGCTGCCGTTACTAAAGGAGGGAAAGAAGCCTTGGCCATTTGACGTTCCCTCTTACCTCATTGTGCTGACTGATGGGAGCTCTGATGACGGAGTCCTGGAACCTGCGGAGAGACTAAAGGCTGAAGGGGTCACCATCTATGCAGTTGGCATTGGGGAGGCCATTAAAACAGAACTGCAACAAATTGCTGGGAAAGAAGAAAGGGTTACCTATGGGCAGAACTTTGATTCTTTAAAAAGCATAAAAAATGAAATTGTTCGCAGCATCTGCACTGAAAAAGGTAAGTCAAACGAAAAGGGCTTTATTCTTCGCATTTCGACATTAATGACTTCAGGCAGACTCATGGCCAGGTTGGTAAGGCATGGTGTAACAAATGGTCTGGCTAACATTTTTTTGCAGCTAACTTACTTTATCACCGTGGAGGGATCGAGCCCCTCACTTTACGACCAACTGCCAACATTGGAGAATCCCTCTAAGGGTGGTAAGATGGTTAAGAATGATAGGATCTTAGCAAAGCCCATTACCGTGGAGTATAAGAGATTCTGTGCGTGCGTGCGTGCGTGCGTGCGCGCGCGCATCTGTATACGCATGGGCGTGTGTGCCTGAGCGCATGCGCATGCGCACGTGCATGCATTGAAGGCAGACGAGTATATTGGAAAGAAAATGTGCTCTGGATTTACATATTTAAGGGTTTAATTCACCTTTCTGCTTAAGCCTCAGACTTGCTCATCTATAAAATGAGGATAATACCTACATCAGAGAATCCTTCGAAGCTAAGCATAACAAACCGTACACTAGTCATTATTTTTATATTATGAATGTATATCTAGTACATATGTAATGATTGTTCATTTTGACTTATAACAGAAACACATATTCATATTTTTGCTCTGACAAATGGTTAAATGTCAAAAATTAGGAAGACAACTGCAAATTTCGGATTGTTTGTTATTGCTCTTAGTAATAATGACAAAAAAAAACAAAAAAAAACCAGCTGCTGTCAAGTTGATTCCAACTCATGGCGACCCAATGCATTTAGAGTAGATTTGCACTCCATAGGGGTTTCTAGGCTGTGACCTTTTGGAAGCAGATGCCAGGCCTATTTCCAAGGCCTCTGGATGGGTGCAAACCACCAACCTTTCGGTTAGCTGAGAGCTTAACCACATATGCCACCCAAGAACTCCTAGTCACTTATGAACTCAAGATAGTATGTGTTGACTGCCCAAATAAGCACATGAAAATGTTGTCTTCTGAGGGATATGTTAGCTTACTTGTTAAGAGTAAGGATGCAGGAGTCAAAGAGTTAAGGTTCAGACCTGCTTTACCACTAATTAGCTGTGGACCCTGACTGAATTACTTCCTGTCTACCTGCCTTGGTTCCCTTGTTTGTAGGATTATTGTGAAGTTAAAGGTTCTAACACATGTGGAGCCCTTCGAGGAGTACCTGACCCAGAAGTTGGTTAATGTGTTCACTGATAAGGAAAAGAAGACGCTCAAACTTATTTGAACCTACTAAAGTGAATATGTGTTCAAATTTTCTCTGAGCCTCTTAAAAAATAGAAAAATAAATAAATAAACAAATAACTAGCATTAACCACAAAATCCTAAATCACAATTTTGTTAGTTGTCCTTCCTGTTAAGGAGAGTAATAGCATTTGGTTTTCAGGATGTCTTAGAAAGAAAGAGAGATTAAAAGATCCCCAATGTTTCCTGGAGCTGGCACCAAGAAAAGTGAGAGTCTCAAGAAGCATAAAATTGCTTGTATCTCGGATCCTTTCCAGGGAGGAAGTCCTGGACCAATCTGAGGAGTTGCAGTACCTCTCTTGCAGTTCAAGTTGTCAGTCTGAAAACTGTCACACATTGTAGACAACGAAATGAGCCAAAAGATGGTGAACAGCAAGGCAGATAAACTAAGGAGCTGAAGCTTGGGAGGCTAGGGAAAAAAAACCCCACTGGTCTCAGAGCAGATGCAGATGGAGTGAGGAACAGCAGATTGGCTAGAGGACAGGTTAAGCTGCTGTAACAAAAAGACCCAGACTACAGTGGTTTCCACCATACAGAATATTGTTTCTCTCTTACATGATAGGCCTGGTGAGCAGTCCAGGTCTAGTAGAAAGGCTGTTTCATCCTCAACACGTAGCTTCCATCTTTACGTCAAAGCCGAAGCTCCAGTTCTCATCCCCTTCTCCAGTGGAAAGGGGGAAAGAGCCATCACACTCAGTTGTTTTAATGGTAAGACCCAGAGTAGCCAAATCACTCCTGCTCATATCTATTGGCCAAAACTTTGTCACACGGGAAATGTAGTCTTTAACTGGGCCATCATCTGCCTAGCTGAAATTTTATTACCATAGAAGAATTAGGGGACTGATATTAGGGGGCAAGAAGCAGTCTGTGTAAATAGATACAAGGAGGTGGACCCTGTGACTGCTAACCCACATGTCAAAATCTATTCCTTTCACATGTGTTACATGAAAGAGAATCTTCCACACTTCATAGCAATGGTGCTTTGCCAAGGCCACAAACATGCCCAGTGACCTCCCTAGCTATGATTTTCAAGATGGCTCCAGGGTAGCTTGGGTCTTAAAGTGGTGGTTTTAGTCCCTCCTGGTAGATAAGAGGTATGACCTTACACACACAAGTTATTAAAAATAATTAATGTCTTTTTATACTTTTATGGCCAATACTACTTGTTTATTTTTAAATAGTATAGGATAGACTACATGAACATTGAGGTAGGCACTGCTAACAGGGTTGGCAGAGATAATAGAGCAACAAAAGGGATATGATGAAAGAGATACATGATAAAGACAATGTATTTGCTACGTGTATTTCCTATGGGTGCAGAGAATTGATTACTTTTGCTTCCTTTTTTGATTACTATTGCATCCTTAACCCATGAACTGATGCTTGGCATTTCATACACCCTCAGAAATTATGAATGAGTGAATTATGAATGAATGAGTGAATGCACACTTTGGAAGTTGCATTTCCTCTTTAAAGCTCCTTGGATAATCTTCAGTGGACTTCCGATTCAGGGTGCTGGTGGGCAGACTTCTACTAAAGAAGCAAATAAAATGTTCAAAGGCTTGAGTGAATTTTTCATGTTTTCTGATTCAAGCATTTATTTCTGCTTTACTGTTTCTACGTATTCTGAGAGCCACACCAAACTCATTCATTTCTGGTCTTTTTTCTAACATGCAGGATGTGAAGGCATGAAGGCTGACGTCATGT